ATAATATGGGCAACATAAATATTTACTTTATAAAAAGATCATATTTTAAATGTCAATAAAACAAAAAGATTGAATGAAATAAATATGAATCTTAGGCTGAACCAGGACTAAAACAGAACTGAACCAGGTCTAAACCAGGACTAATCTTGGAATTGAGAAAAAGAACTCCTAGCCCAGGGGTGAGCAAACTGCGGCCCTTTAAACCTTTAATCCGGAAAGTGACAGGAGTTATTTTTGGGCGGTGTATTCGGACCATGAGTGAGGTAGAAGTGTTCAAGACTCTTAACTCTGCACTGTTTCCAGTTTGAGTGGGTTTGAAGAAAAGCTAATGGGATTAAAAACACTGTGTTACAGTTATTAACACGTGGAACGTCTTATGGGTCTGGTTGTAATGTAGTGTTAGTGAAAACACGTCTAACCCTGTGGCTTGGACTCTGTTTCTCGACGAGACCTAAGTGCTCATTCACTCTCGTCTGTGGTGAGCAGTGGAACAGACTAGAGCCCGACCGATATGGATTTTGCTGTGGCCGATATGAAACCGATATAATGGGAGTTGGAGCTGCCGATAGCCGATATAATCGCCGATATTTTTACTTTTTTTTTTTTTAATCCTACGTACACGTAAATTCCTCAAAGTTTCGTTTTTAGCCGCTGCCGCTGTCAAACCACGAGTCTGCACGCGGCGTGAAGAGAAAAAAAGTGAGAGAAAGAGAAAACACGGCTCCCAATAAGGATCAGGCTCCCGTCGTTCCCTTCAAAGAGCCGGTTCTAAGAGTCATTTCGTTCGCGACGGACCCATAACTAGTAAAGAAAGTAGCGCTATTAGCCTTTAGCCGTAAATACGTGCGCGCCGCGGTAATTAATTATATGCACAAATGTCATAATTCACACGTCTATTCACAGCTCATTTACATATCAGTGCAGGTCCAGTAACAAATATACGGCCAATATAGTCACTTTACAATAGACCAATAGAAAACAGTCTGTTTATGTGCGGGAGCTACAGCAGCTAACCCATAACAAATGACAAAAACTAGCTTCAGAGTCGACATATTTCCAACACTCACCGCTCACACAGGCTCCTCCCACATCACAAATCTGCACTAATAAATGTCCTTTTAATCCAGACTCAAACCGATTGTCCGTAAAAAGAAAATAATCTCAGTGTTTGGATCTGTGTCTGCAGGTGTAAACAAACACACGTGAGTGACGCGACTCTGTGGTGTGTTCAGGGACAGTACGGACACACACACACAAATGACTCCGTAGATAAATACTGATGTGGAGCCACATATTTGGACATTTATCTGTCTGTAAATTGGATTAAATGAACAGAATGTAGAGAGTCTAAGCTTTATAACGAGGTGTAACATGCCCACGTGAAATATCGGCCCCTATCAGCAAGTATATCGGCCGATAGCCGATATGCCTAAAGTTGCCCATATCAGCCGATAATATCGGCCAACCGATATATCGGTCGGGCTCTAGAACAGACCTCATTCACTTTTCATGTATTGTGAAACTTACGTGTCTCAAAGTTGCAGCGTGTAGTGCAGAATACGTCCTACATGAGCGTAAATAACACGTCATGTCCCGTCTCCTGTCCGGCCCTTCAGTCAAATTTTCGAGCCCTATGTGGCCCCCGAGCCAAAAAGTTTGCCCACCCCTGGTCCAGCCCATGGAGCAGGTGTCCACAAATCACGATCGGGCGACGGCCGTGTTAACGTGCAGCATTTGGATGATGGAATTCTCAGTGACCGCGGTATAAACACATTTATATAATTATGCTTTACTTAATTTGAATTTATTATCACCATTTATATTTTTTACTCTTTGTTATTATATTATTTTGTGATGTGTGAGAATAATTTCCCTTGTGGATGAATAAAGTTTGTCTGAGTCTGAGTCTAAGTGATTCTAGTGAAAGTGTGTGGAGTTTAAAAACACAGTGGAGCACTTCACATGACATCACAAGGTGGAACAGAGTGTTTCAGTGAGTTTAAGAGAAGAACTGAGCTTAAAGGTGCAGGTTTGTGTGTTAAACGTGTGAATGTGAAAACAAAACACAACTCCAGGTCATATTTAAAGGTTGTATAGAGGATTTTTTTAAGGGAAGAGAAATACAGCGACAGTCCTTGTGCGCGTTCAGAATCACTGTTGAAGTTTCCTGTCTAGAAGTAATTCAGCGACCGACGCGTCAGTTTTTAGACCCTTCGTCTGCTTCGGTCGCGCCATCGCTGGACGAGATCTCCAAGAATCACCTCAGTTTGGCTTCGCTCCTTTTCCTCTTCTCTTCTTCTTTCAGCGACCTCAAAAACCGACTTTCTTTTGCGGCGAACCGGTCGTGGATTCTCGTCCGCCGTCGCGACAAACTTTGTGCGAAATGTGAGGAAGCGACAGTTCGAAAAAGCCTCTAAGAACCGCTGCGTAAACCACGTAATCCCCGCGCTCCAACGAGTCAGTTACACTAGGGAGTTTGATTGACAACCCAACAGCCAATAGAAAATGAGGGAGCCTCGTTTTCTATTGGCTGATGTTTATCTGGCCTCAACACGTCCACAGTTGATAGATTTTCGTTCTTTTTTTTTTTGGTCGTCATAATTACAAAGCTGCTGCGTCTCTGTGATGGTATTTTAATCTTTCACTGACAGTTTGAAACAAAAAAAAATCCTCCATACAACCTTTAAAAGAACAAAGCTTAAACTCGAGTCAAAATATCAAACTAAAAGCTCTGATTTAAATGAAAATAAGCAAAAACCGACCTGCTGCACGGCTCTCCTCTGACGTCCCGACCACATTTAACACATTTTTGACCTGATTTGACTCCTGGGTTAGATTTTCGATGAGGAAACAGGATTAGAACGGATCAGAAAACAGTGTAACATGGTCCTTTAACGTTTGCAGATGAGCGTCGTGCTTGAGCTCGTTCGGGAGTCGGTCGCAGTCGGGGGCCTCCAGCTCTGAGCCTCAAATCGTCCTCGTTTATCCCGGAATCGCTCGCGTTCATTTCGGAGCGACCATTATCCGTTTGCCCCGTAACCAGAAGGTCACAGGATCAAATGAAGATGGTTGTTGACCGAAAAGGGAGCAGCCAAATGGGATCAGAACGTTTCCAATTAAATGTCAAATGTTTGGTTAAAAGGTCTGGAGAGAGAAACTGAGACGGAGGAAAAATCGTGTTTAGAAAGATTTTCGAGGCTCAGGTCCAGTCTGCAGTCGGGGTTTGCAAAAATAACAAAATATCGTGATAATAATAAGTAAATTTGGTGATGCCGTATCGTTAATATGGGCTGCTGTATCGATGTATCAAGAGTATTTTTTAGTTCTTTTGCATTTTTTTGGTGACCGTACTACAATGTTGTTTGCTTATTTAGTGGAAGGAAATTATTTATGCAATACAGTGTCCCTCGTTTACGTTCTAAAAATAACCCGCGAAGTGTTCAACTTTATATCCTTCTTTACGTAACAAACTGAAGATTAATTTATTCTGTGATGGATCCTGCAGCCGCACAGGACAGGACCACACCCGCCTGCACCTGCCCGTTAACCCGAGATTATATCAAACTTTTGCGCTGTCTACGCCACGGACTGAACCAAGACTGAACCAGGACTGACCCGGGACTGATTCCAGGACTGAAGAGGAGGATTAAACCAGGACTAAACCAGGACTGAAACAGGACTCAGTGTCTGGACGAGGTCAGAGGTGACCGCAGGAGAAAGGACCGGCTCAGCTCCGCACCTCACGAAAGTGAAACGCGGCCGTTGACCAATCGCGCTTTACGGACACTAGTGTTTTAACTTTTTTACAGCCTCTACACCCTGTATCATATTTTGATGAACTTTTGCTGGTAATTAAAGGAATTGACCTTCAGTTGGTCATATTTTTGAAAAAATGAAGTTTTGGTAAAGCAACAACCAGAATAAAACAGTTAGAAGATTCATATCTGTTCAATCATAAAATAACCAAAGGCAATTTTCTCTTTAAAAACACAAACAAAACACATCATCAGGGTAAAGATCAGATAAAACAGTAAAAGTCCAAAAATGATGATTGTCAGAGTTGGTTTGTGACGATGAGTCGAATGGTTTATAAAGTGAAAGTAAGAATAGAAAGTGAAACTCCAGTTTATTATGATGCAGAACAACTTATTATTGATCCATTTTCAGTCACATTGACTTGTCATGGTCCTTGTGAGAACTTAACACAGTTTCACATTTCATATCATCGGCTGTGATGTGGATTTAATATTTTTTTTGTTTCAGGGAGACTTTTTTAACAGAGTGTTGAAAGTGGAGTTTGGTTTCTTCAATTATACCAAAAAGTTCATCCAATCATGATGCACGACTTTGATTTTGGAAAAAAAGTTCAAAAAGTTAAAACCCTGACGGACACCCTGCTGCTCGGGCTCGAGGTTCTGTCTCTTAACTCTTTCCCCCATGAAGACGACATTTGACGACCCCCCGTTCCTTTAATGACGACTTTTGTCTCCTCCGCTGTATCACTAAAGACGTGATTTGACGACCTCGAGAAATGGCTCGGTTTTTCACATGTAAACAGAGGCTGCGATCGGTCGGGGCCACTACAACCGACACCAGACTGACCAATAGGATTCAAGGATATGTTTTCGCCGATGTTTTCCGAAGTTAATCGAAGTAGTGACGATGACCTCACACCCTGTACAGGTCAACAGGCCCAACTAACAAACACAAACTGTAAACAAGTGTGTGTGTTAGTTTCAGAGTAGTTTCAGTGTAGTTAGCTCCTCCCTGCAGACAGATATAAGGAAGTGTCACCAGCGTCTGACCAGAACTGAAGAAGCAGCTTGGACGAGCTGAGAAACGTCTTCAACCAAACTAACTTTTGTCCAGTCGACAAACTGAATTTTCTCCTCGTAGACGTAGATGCAAAACCTTAATTTTCCCAAAATCTCCTCCCAGGACTTTTAAAATTATAATATTATACACTTTGGATCAGTGGACAAACTTTGAAAAACACTGAATAAACAAAGCAAAAAAACTTTATTAATAGAAACAACGAACAAAGAACCAACTTTTTTTTTTTTTACATTTTAAAATCTGTAACACAAGTTTACAATTCCTGAATTCTTACTTTGGTAACGTAACTCTAAGTTTCTTTTTTTTTTTTTTTTAAGGTGCATTGTGTATCTTTTTTGTTTGGGGGTTTGTCATTGATCAGCTGGGAATGTTCCACAGTGTGACTTTAAACAGCTCTACTTTACATTTTATCAATTACAGGTGGTTTTATCGCTCAAAAATACCTCGAAAAACAAACATTCTGACACAGATCTGACCTGGAAACTTGGTCTGATTTGGAAAAAGGTTTAATGCCGTAGTGTGGAACATTCCAAACCAAGCGACAACAACATCTACAGAGAGAAAAAGCGTTTGACCGACCAGAAAAGTGACACAATGCAGCTTTAAACACATCTGCTCTAAAGCAACAGCACCAACAACTTGGCCTTTTTGACCTGAGGCTCGACTCGGTGCAGGTCCAGAGGAAGTCCGGTCGTGGGAGGGCATCAGGTGTAGTTGACCCTGACGCAGAAGGCCTCCTCGGTTTTCTCCTGCAGGTCGTTCACGAACACCAGGATCTCCACAGCTGCAGGTCGCTGAGTCGGGGCGAAGCGCAGCCCGATGCTGTACGTGTCCCCGCCCCCAATCTGGAAAAACAAACAAAAACAATAAGAGGTTCATATTATTGTGTTTCTGTTCTTCTCTCACTGTCAGGAAACACTCTGTTCCACCTGGTGATGTCATGTGGTGATACAAGAAAAACTCCACTGTGTTTTTAAACTCCACACATCATCACTAGAATCATTTTAGGCTAGGATTAAACCAGGTCTAAACCAGGTCTAAACCAGGTCTAAACCAGGTCTAAACCAGGTAAACCAGGTCTAAACCAGGTCTAAACCAGGTAAACCAGGTAAACCAGGATAAACCAGGTCTAAACCAGGACCAGGTAAACCAGGTCTAAACCAGGTCTAAACCAGGTCTAAACCAGGTCTAAACCAGTAAAACCAGGATTAAACCAGGTCTAAACCAGGACTAAACCAGGATAAACCAGGTAAACCAGGTCTAAAACCAGGTCTAAAACCAGGACTAAACCAGGAAAACCAGGACTAAACCAGGACTAAACCACTAAAGGACTAAACCAGGACTAAACCAGGTCTAAAACCAGGACTAAAACCAGGATTTAATCCAGGTTTAAAAAAAACCAGGACTAAACCAGGTCTAAACCAGGACTAAAACCAGGACTAAAACCAGGACTAAACCAGGACTAAACCAGGACTAAAACCAGGTCTAAACCAGGTCTAAACCAGGACTAAAACAGGATTTAACCAGGTCTAAAACCAGGACTAAAACCAGGTCTAAAACCAAGACTAAACCAGGACTAAAACCAAGACTAAACCAGGTCTAAACCAGGACTAAAACCAGGTCTAAACCAGGGCTAAACCAGGACTAAACCAGGAATAAACCAGGACTAAACCAGGACTAAAACAGGACTAAACCAGGACTAAACCAGGACTAAACCAGGACTAAACCAGGACTAAAACCAGGACTCTAAAACCAGGACTAAAACCAGGTCTAAACCAGGACTAAAACCAGGACTAAACCAGGACTAAAACCATCTGGACAACTTTTTGCACATTAAAAAAAAAAGTTTAATTTCGAGCTTTAGCTACAAAAGTGTTAAATATCAAGTCTGTAAATAAACTAAAAATCTCCTTATTGCCTCAAAATAAAAACAAAAAAAAAAGTACAATGTCCCCATGACTTGACTGGTGCAGGTCGTGGAAACAGCTGGAGTCAGGTCCAGGACGCAGAGACACTTCACTTCTGCATTTCCATGAGGTTTATTACATTTGGATTTGGACATTTGGACTCAAACCTGAAAATAAAAATAGTGGTCGTAAAAAATAGTAATTTTTTTTCATTTATTTGACAAATCTCTGCACTTTGAGCGACTTTTTCAATTGTTCTGAACTCAGACGCTCAGAGCATCGACCGTTTTGACTCACTACACTCTTTGGCAAAGTTTGGACCAATCAAAATGGACGGAGCGACTGAGTTTGGCTTTTCTAAAGGGACGTTCACACCAAAGCCTCAAAAAACACCTTGACGTCTCTATTTGGAGCCTTTGCATTTGAGTTTAGACGCTCCTGACACTGTGGAAGAACGGGAGAAAAACACTTGATGCGTCGCCCTGGAAACAAGAGCCCAGTCCCGGTCTTTTCCCGAAACAACGTCAGACCAAAGTGAGAGACTTTAGTGTTTTTATAACGTAAAAACATCAGAGGAGGAGATCAGGTCGACGACTGGGACGTGTTTATATTTATACTCCACTAACGACACTGGATCAGTCCTGGTTTAGTCCCGGTCTAATACCGGTCTGGTCCCGGTCTAGTCCCAGTCTAGTCCCGGTCTAGTCCTGGTCTAGTCCCTGGTCTAATCACAGTCTATTCCCGGTTTAGTCCCAGTCTAATACTGGTCTAGTCCCGGTCTAATCACCGTCTAGTCCCAGTCTAGTCCCGGTCTATTCCCGGTCTAGTCCTGGTTTAGTCCCGGTTAGTCCCAGTCTAGTCCCGGTCTAGTCCCGGTCTAGTCCTGGTCTAGTCCCGGTCTAATACCAGTCTGGTCCCGGTCTAGTTCCGGTCTAGTCCCGGTCTAATCACGGTTTAGTCCCGGTCTAGTCCCAGTCTAGTCCCCGTCTATTCCCGGTTTAGTCCCAGTCTAATACTGGTCTAGTCCCGGTCTAATCACGGTCTAGTCCCAGTCTAGTCCCAGTCTATTCCCGGTCTAGTCCTGGTTTAGTCCCGGTCTAGTCCCAGTCTAGTCCTGGTCTAGTCCCCGGTCTAATCACAGTCTAATCATGGTTTAGTCCCAGTCTAGTCCCGGTCTAGTCCTGGTCTAGTCCCGGTCTAATTCCAGTCTGGTCCCGGTCTAGTTCCGGTCTAGTCCCGGTCTAATCACGGTTTAGTCCCGGTCTAGTCCCAGTCTAGTCCCCGTCTATTCCTGGTCTATTCCCGGTCTAGTCCCGGTCTAATACCAGTCTGGTCCCGGTCTAGTCTAGTCCCAGTCTAGTCCTGGTCCTCTAGTCCTGGTCTATTCCCGGTCTAGTCCTGGTTTAGTCCTGGTTTAGTCCCGGTCTAGTCTCGGTCTAGTCCTGGTTTAGTCCTGGTTCAGTCCTGGTTTAGTCCTGGTTTAGTCCTCGGTGATTGTGGTGTATATATTTATTCTCCGCTCATGTTTGTGGTTCTGGTTCTGGGGTTTTTCTTCCTGATAATAACGTCGCTGCATCACTGGATACTCGTCCCTGATTGGTCGACGCGGCGCATCTGACGTGAAAAGTTCATCATTTTCAACTTTTTGACGCTGCCAGATTCGCGCCGCAAAACCGCAGGACGCTCAAGTCGCTCGTCCACATCGACTTTACATAGAAACTGGACACTTTGACGCTTTAGTGTGAACGACCCTTAACTTTTACGGTTGGAAATTTATGCACGGTTCTATAAAACATATTCCCGTATTTTGTGTGGAAGAGTTTTAAGGTCACACCTACAGAGTTTAATTTTTTTTTTTAAACTTTGTTTCCAGACTTCAACGTTTTGGGAGAAATTCTCTATAATTGCTGCAGACGACCTTTGTGAGACGTGTTTTATTTCAGCTGTTTTTTTGTTTTTTTTGACAAATCACAGCACAGAAAATCAAAAAAGTTCCACACTGTCAAATTGGCGTTTGTTTATCAAATGAGTCCTAAAAGCTCCAGCTGTGAACGAGCGTCTGACTCGCTGCCAGACACTGTTTACCTGTTGGTTCGAATAAACTCGCTGTGAACCTGGAAACAAAGGCTGGACCAGACTTCAGAGGAAACGAGACAAAGACGAACCCAAAACACATCTCCACGTTTCTCTGTGATTCTCAACCCTCACTGACATTTACCTTTGAACACAACAGACTTTTGCTGCGTGATTTTGGCAACCGCCTCTGTAAATATAATTATAGTTTGTGAAGGATTTTTAAAACTCAAATAAAATAATGGTGTTTGACCTTTTGCATTACATATTATTATTATTAATTTTTTAATGATTTCATGCTATATTCATGCATTATATAAGCATTAAAAAAGAAGAGCTGTAAGTTTTGGCGTTTTAGTTTAGTTAGTAGTTGTAAAACACCGTGACGTGCATCGGAGAGATGTTCCTTAAAAATGCAGAATGCACTATTTAATGCTCTGTTACCACGGCGACAAAATGAGGCTTTGTTTACATGATGACGGTCTGAACAGAAGACGCAAAAGCGGCGTCGCGTCTTCACTTTTTATTCTGCGTTTAGTCGAGTGTTTTCAGGAGTAAATCTGCTGCACACTGGTGACGCAAAAGTGTGTGGAACAGGCGAGTTTCATTGTTGACAAAAGCGTGCGTTGCATGCTGGGAATTATTTTGGTCGGCGGCAAGAAACACTAATTCAACATGACGGACGGAGTGAGAAAGAACATAAAGGGATTTGACCAGAAATTGGTCATAAACATCACCCTCACCCTTTTGACAGAGCTGGACCAAACCAAATTCTGGAGAAAATCACTTGGGCGACATCCACAATGACTTGGTGGAAACTCCTGGGCCATTCACAGCAGAAAAGATGAAAACCTCCAAGAGTCTGGATGTGTTGTTGAACTTGTTGAGTCCACGGTTTGTTAGGATCTTCTACGTTTGCTCTGCGGATGTTTGAAAGTCGTTTAATTCACCGTTAACGGTTCTTTTCACTCAGAATACGAAAAAGACATTTTCCTTCTTCCGTGCTTCTATTTGTGCATCTGATAATGCAGCAGGAATTTACCATTATCGGGGAGAAATACGCGAGGTTACACACTGTGTTTGACGCTACCGTGTTTCTTGCCTCCGACCAAAATATTTCCCAGCAGCAACGCGGGCTTTTAATAACAATGACATCAGCTGAAACTCGCCTATTGGATTGTGCGTGTTTGTACTTAAAGCAAAAGTGGCGGGGCTCTATTAAAAACTTAGGCAAGATCGAGATTCCAAGTGCAGGTGGTTTATTGTACCAGTGTCCAAAGTGCAAAAATCCCAAAACAGTGCAAAATATTTACAGTGAGCAAAACAGTCCAAAAAGTATTTACAGCGAAGAAACAGGGTCGAGTTCAGCGTTAACTGTCCCCTTTAAGATTCTGTACAGCACACGGACGTTACCTGCTCTGTAACCGGTGGCAGACTGATTAACAGCCAGGAACGGCTCCCCTTTAAACCACCTGACTCCTCCCACTGAGCAACACATCAAAATCATTCTAGAGACAAACCATTTCACAATAAACCTACCTTGTCTATGCTACGTTGAGCACAGTAATAATATACATTTAATGTCAAAAATAATACCTGAAAAACTTAAAGAAAATCGTATTACATAACGCGCGTCACATGGTCAGCACCACGGCGCCTATTTCAACCAACAGGAAATGGAGGCTCGGTTTGGCAGAGGCGCCGCGTCGGAGGAGAGAGAGACGACGTCATCGCACAGGTAAGAGACAAGTATGAAATAAACTACTCTAACGCGCTCAAGTGTGCAGCCTGCGAATTAGTAACGGAGGAAAGAGGGGAGCAGTAGAGGTGACATCGGGCCTAAAAAATCCAGCCCGACCCGACCC